AGATGACAAGCTGCTTTGGAACAACGTAAAGGGGAAGACTGGGGTGTTTCTCACGGTGCTTTTCTCCAGAAAGTTCTCTAAACGTGTTTTGTTTCATTGTTACCCAGAACTGTGCAGACCAAACACCTTGCACTTGCCAAGGCGGTTGTAACTTCCAGTAAGTGTGCTTCTTTCCACAAAATGACTCCGTAAATGCTACAATTGTGTACTTTTCATGTAAATCAATTTTAAAAATCAGAACTGCTCATTTGTCCCGAGGCTTGCTTGATAGCTACGGCGGCACGTTGTTGCCCCTCTCCTGTTTCTATTACAGGAAAAGAGAGGACGGAGAAATCAGGGTGGGGCCGAGCCCCAGTACCACAGTGTGGTTTTGAAGCACAGCCAAGGGCTGGCACCTCCCCGGTCCCTGCCTGCAGCCCTGGCTGAAATGCCTTTTTGAAGCACTAATAAGCTCAGGGCATTGAGAGCAAATAGACCCTCGGGAGAAGGAGCGTATACACATGGCGGCCTCTGCAGGGTCAGAGCCTCCCAACATGCGGTGGCCAGGGTGCTAGCTGGGTGTGTCATGTGCTGTCTTCTTGGGGGGCCAAGCAGGTGGGGGGGAGCCGTTCCCACATGCAAACCTTCCCATCATGCTCAGACTGACTGGGAGCAGCTAGCTCTTTTCTTCATGGCCAGTGATGTTGACCGCAAGCGAGTTGCTGCTGGCCCCGCTCAGGAGGCACCGTGGGTGCCTGGGGTTAGGTGGGAGGCAGCTCCCGGCCTGGAGGGCTCGCCAGCAGGCACACCTGCCCTGCTGAGAACAGTTTTCAGCAGGAACAAGAGCTGGGAAGTCCTCTGGGTCTGCTCAGGCTGCTGCAACAAAATGCCCCGGACTGGGTGTCTTAGGAACAACACAATCTGTTTCTCACGCTTCTGGGAGCTCAACGGCCAAAATCAAGGGGCCAGCGGGTTCGGTTCCTGGTGGGAGCTCTGTTCGGGGTTCGCAGTGGCTGCCTTCTCACTGTGTCCACAGGGCAGAGCGAGGGAGACCCACGGGACAGACAGGAAGACAGGGGGAGGGGGAAGGCGGGAGGGGAGGGCCAGGAGCCTAGCCCTCTGGGATCTCTTCTTATAAGGCCGTTAATCCCATGACTCGAGCACCCCCCTTATGGCCTAATCATCTCCCACAGGCCCTGCCTCCCAGCACCAGCACCCCAGGGAATTCGGTTTCAGCGCAAGAATACCGAGTGGGGCACAAACAGTCCACAGAAGTTCTCGACCAGCCTCCACACATGTGATGTGCATCAGCGTCTGCTGATGTCCTTTATGAAAGGACAGGTCACTGCCCTGGGCCCACCTGAGGTTCTGGGTCCCCTGGACATGAGGCGGGGCCCAGGCCCCCTTGGACGAGAAGCCCTGGGTTAGGATCAACCCTGTGTGACCAGGACCTAGGGGCTGTCATCACAGCTCACAGATAGTTAGACCAGGAGGAGGAGGAGCCTTTGCAGAGGAAGGAGACAGGGAGAAGGTGGGGAGAGAAGCAGGATGCATTATATACCCACCTCAAAGCCAGACTTGTGGCTTCACATGGCTGAAAATAACTAGGGTTTACAGAGCCCCGGAGGCGTGCCCACACTCCCATGCATGGCCTCATTCAGTCCTTGGCACCCCCGAGGGATTCCAACCTTTAACACATTCACAGATGGGGAAATTGAGGCAGAGAGCGGTGAACTACCCTGCCCGATGTCACAACACTGGTAAACGGTGTTACTCAGAGAAAACTTCAGTGGCCTGACCCCAGCGTTCATGCCGCGCAAACGCTGGGGACGCGGGCACCTGCAGGAGCGGCAAGAGACGCAGGCGGACCCAGCACACCTCCCGAGGAAGCAGAGGGAAGGGCAGGCATGTTCCGAAGCTCGGAGTCATCTCCTAAAGACAGGAAGCAAAGTTCCTGGGACTCCAGAACATGTTGGTGGCCCCATCGAGAAACTCAAAGTGGGGACCCCAGCAAAGGCATCTGCTCTACGGTTCACATCTTCCCATAGGATTTCTCCTGAGGCTCGGCCTCAGCGCTTTGCGGCAGAATGAAGTACCCTGCACAGGAAGAACACACGCGCAGGGCCAGGGCCAACATCAGGATCAAAGACTTCTGCACAGGTTCCAGAGTCCGAAAGCTGGGACAATGTACACTGTTACCATCCAGAGTGGCATTTGTCTACCCACTGCGGGTGCCCGTGCCGCGAGAGTAACGGCTCCTTCATATGGTCCTTGGCTTCTGAAAATTCCAGCCAAACTCCCCCACTCCCAGCTCCTCAAAGAACAACTTCCAAATCAAAGTTAAAAATAAAAAAAAAATAGCTGCTTTTCCAATAATTTAACATCCTGAGCGGCTGGGCAGGCTGGTGTTGAGCATGGTGCCAAGGCAGGCCTGGAGGACTTCTTGGAGATGGCACATCTGTGAACTGCTTGTTCTACCTCCCTCTGAGGGGTTGAGAACTGGGATGGTTTAGAAATGTTTGTAGCCATGTGACATTAGGGGGCTATCCAACCTTCTTGACAGATTTTTATCACATGCTCAGCAGCCCCTACAATTCTGGGCAGATACAATGTGTCTCAACTATAACCCAACAGCATACAATCTGGAATCACTTGATCAAAAGGTAATTTTAACCATGATTTATCAAGATACATGGTAAAAACCAGCTTGTGATGCGGGACTAGAGATGAATGAAGCACCACTTGCATTAATTTGGGAAAACTGAAAAAGGAGGAACCTGAACCTGCTGGACTTCCTCCTCTGAGCACACAGCTCAGGAGAGTTTTCTCTACTCTGCTCAATCAGATCAGCAAGAGACGATCTCACTTGTCACATTAAAAATATTAAATGCTGACACAGCAGTGTTTGTTTATTGTATTATATAAAAGCGTGGTTTTGCAAGGGTTTGAAATTGTTTAAAAAACAAAAACCACCACAGATAGTTTAGGAGTCTCTGCCGTTCCATGGAATTCTCCAGGTGGGATGGGAAAGGGGTGTTCCTGTGTGTGTGCACGTGCGTGTGCGTATGTGTATGTGTGTGTGTGTGAGAGAGAGAGAGAGAGAGAGACGGGGTGGTTAAACACAGGGGAAAGGGATAAAACTGCTCCTTTTCATCAATAAGAGCACCACTGTGTTGGGTAATTACATGTTGCATCGTCTCCATGATAAACAAAAACATTTGCTTCCATTTTGGTCTAAATGAAAAGGAGCATTTTCCCTTTCCCAAGCCAGCTTTGCCCCCAGCCAGTTGGCTCAGAGCCAAGGCTACTGAAGGGCTGGAGTCCCAGGGCCAGCCCGCCAGAGACCCTCTGCTGTCCCACTGCGAAAGCCAACAGTTGTAGGGACACAGACTGCAGAGCCCTACCCCTCCCTCACTCGCTGGCCCTTCGTTTTACACACAATTTCATGGAAACCTCGTTCCAGACAGAAGCTGACCAGCGGGGTCACGGGGCTCCAAGGGACCCCCCCCCCCGCCCCGCAGAAAACCACTGCACAGAGCACAGCCCTGGAGACACAAGAATCTCCACTCAGTGGACAGGAGCCAATTATCTTTTCCTGTAGAATCTACTAGTCCAAGGGCTGTGCATCAAACTAGTTTCAATGTACCTTCTGCCACAGAAGTGATTGCTGTGGCTTTTTCTTCCTGCCCAAGACTCCAAATGCAGAGCGAATCGTTCATATACATGATTAGAGGGCCCTTGGGAAACTCTGCCCGTAGTGACAGGTGAGGGTGGGACTGCAGGTGACCGTGAGCCCTCAAACAGGAGTGCTCGGGAGTCACAGAACCCAGAGCTGGCGGGGCCTTCGGTTTTCTCTCCCTCGCAGACGTCTGAGTGAGCCCAGATGAGGGTCCCAGGCAGGGACTGGAGAAATGCATCCAAATGAACACAAGTACACAATTCCCCTTTGTCTGCACCGGGAAGGGACTGAGTGAAGAAAAGAGAAATTGCTTGGAATTTGTCAATCTGTGATTTTTTTTTTAAACTTCAGATCACTTTGTCTTCTTCAATTTGTAAGCCATCAACAATTTCCTTTTCCTCTCCTAGCGTCTTTCTGGATTTACCTTTAGGGAGACCAGCTGGTTACCTGTGGTGCACCCGCTGCACCCCGGGGTGTGCAGTAGAACCGAGTTCCCTCCCAGTGGCCCCTGGCTGGCTCCCCGGGGCTGCATCCGCCTGCCGGGGAGGGACCGCAAGGAGCTTCCCTGGGGCTCTGCTGTTGGCATCTCCCACCCCCGCGTGCTGCCCAGGGCTCCGTACTCGGGGACAGGAAGGTGCTGGCCTCTGACCCTGCCCGAAGTCAATGCCACACCTGGCACTTGCGCTGTTTCAAATTCTCTGGGGCAAGAAAGCAGATGCGCTGAGCTAAGCGGTAAAGTGCTCCCTAAAACACAACCCATAAAATCGATGTGCTCCTCAAAATGAAAACTGCCATCTGCTGTCCTTACACATCCTCTCCTTACAAATTATGTTTCCTAAAGATGCAACTTTTGTTTTTTTATTGTATGAAATTCCAAATTCCAGCCGGGCAAGCTGACCCAGAAGGCACGCTGGGGCAACCACCCTCCCTTACCCCAGAGCCTCACACAGTCCCCTGCGCACACTCACGTAGGCATGCACATGCCGGTGCAACGCACTCACGCCCGCACGCACCCTCGTGCAAGTGCCCCTGTGCAAACCCCGACACTTGCTCGTGTGCACACGCTCACGCGCACGTTTAGAAAGGCGGTCCCGTGGGCAGGGAGGCCCGCTGGAACTCTCCTGCCCTGAGCGCCAGCACGCTCCTCAGAGCAATGGCTCCTTGGGTCTGCGCTGTTTCCTGACTGAGAGGCCGCAAAAGAGAAACGCTCTGAGTCCACAGAGCATCAGCGCCTCGCTCCGCAGACGAGCACGGGGACACCTGCGGGGGCGGTCGCTGGCCCAGAGGAATGTCTCCTCCCTACAATCAACCAGAGGGAACCCACCCAAGGCCACAGCGGTGGCTACTTCTCTGCCTCCTGCAGTTCCCTCTGCGTCTCTCGGAGGAGGCGCCGAAGCTTCCAGAACACGTCAGGGGCTGCTCTCGGGGGCCTGCGCGCGGTGCGCCCGGGGTCCGCGCATTCCTGCACCGCCTGCCGCAACTGCCGCTGCAGCGGGAAGGATAGGGCCGAGCTCCAGAGACTCGAGGAGAACCAGTGGCGGAATATCTTGTCACAGATGACCTGAGGGACGGCAGACGGGGCGGTTAGTGCAGGGCTGCAAACCCCCGGTGCCAGGGATGCTCTGGTCCCAAAGGTGCCTTCCCTCCCAGAACCTGAACCACTCAGCACCAGGAATGGAGTCCCGCGTCCAGCCCCGCAGCAGACGGGGAGGGCCCGGGTCACTGAATACCCTCTGAAGAGAGAGGGGAGCAGAGAGCACTGGGCAGCCACTGCCGCAGAAGGAGTGGCCCCTCAGCCGAGTCACCACGTCGCTGAGGACTTGCTCGGCCATCAATGGGTCACCATAACTCGCGATGACCACCGGACAGGGTTGTCATGAGGGTCCGGTGACGTGCGGGGAGAAGTCGTGGGCAAACATGATTGCATGTTGAGACGCCTGGAGAAAAGACTGTTCTGGAAGGGACTTTGAACCCTTTTATTTCAGGAGCAGAAGTGAAAAATTAAGCCATCATCTCGAAGCTGAGACTAACAGGGTATGAAATTCCCCCGAATCTGCAGATCTCCTTAAATCCTCCACCTAAACACACAGCCTGTTCCCACAGCTTTCCCAGGTCCCTCCTGCCGGGAGGGCTGCTCCCAGAGCTGCGTAATTAATGGGCTTTACTTTTCTGTGTTGCACTGTCTTGGGCTCACTGAACAGAGGCCTCAGTGTTGTAAAGCTACTTTTCATAGAAGATAAGCAACTAACTTCTGTCTCCCCCTCCCTGCAAGGGCGAGGATTCTTTTTAAAAACAAATGAACTTAGTTGTGTTTTGAATTGATAATCCATGTGCAAAACTGTCCAATGTCCCCAAGGACAGACCATACGTAAGTCCTAGGTCTCCATGCTGCTCCTGACCATCAGACACTCTGCTCCTGGCTCTGGGAGGCCATCCCTTCCTTGAATGTCCTTCTAGACAGAGTACGTGTACACAAGCCTACACACGCATCTCCTTTCCCTTCCACTTTGCACAAAAGGCAGTCTTTTGCACACTGTTCTTCAGCTTCCATTCCCATTTAACCAAATACCAGGGAAAGCCTCCCATGCCGATTCTTACAAGGATTTCCTGTTGCTTTCATGGCTGCACCTCAAGTGTGTGGGTAGATCATCGATTATTTACCTCTTCCCTATTGGTGGCAACTGAGGCTTTTTACTAACTTTTGCTATTATGAACAATGCTGCAAGAAATATCTTTCATGTATATCATTTTAACTTTGCACATGTAACTAAATTTCTAGACTAGAAATTTCTGGGCCTAGAGGTATGTGCCTTTTTTGTTTTAGTATCTATTGCCCAATCGACCCCATGAAAGTTGTCCTGAGATACACTCTCACAGCAATGCATGATGAGAACGCTTGTCTCCCCGACTGCTCCACCAAGACGTGTGTTGTCTTTCATTTTTGCCAACTGGTGGTTTAATTTGCATTGCTCTTAGCAGTCAGGGTGAAAGTTATTTGTGCTTCCTTTCCAGTGAATCATCAAGTTGATATCCTTTGTTCACATTTCCATCAGATTGTTGGCCTTTTTCATATTAATTCGCAGATACTCTTTATATCGTAAGGACATCCCCTCGCTTTGGTTGGCTCCCTGGAGAGCGGACTCTAAGAGGGAGGTTTGCAGGCAGGGATTTATTGAGGTGCGTTCCTGGGAACCAAGCCTCCATGGACCTGAGGGAAAAGGAAATCTTCCGGTGTTCCTTACTGAGGCTGGAGACTGGGCTTCACGTGTGCCCCAGCTCCCACTGACCCATCCCTGGACGCTGCCCCTGACACTTGGAGTAGCCACGGCAAAGAAGCTCCAGTGGGGAAGGACAATCCTGGGGGACACTCTCTGAACCTCAGCAGCAGCTGGTGCATGAGGACCCCCTTTGTCTCCTGCTCTCTTGATCTGTACCAGCATTTGCAAAGTTTGCCCATTTTCTCATTTAACTGTTAAATTTTGCTCTTATTTGGGGGGATTTTGTTTTGTTTTGTTTCCACTATATGAATTTTTTTCAAGATAGTGAAATCTGTCACATGTTCTTCCTATGGCCTCTGAGCTGTGTTCCATACTCAGAAAGACCTTCCTTACTCTCGGGTAGTATTTTAAACTCTCCCAGTTTTTCTCTGGTACACTTAGGATCCTTTTTTTTTTTTTTTTTTTTTTGAGTAAATACTTGAGCCCTCTGGAATTCAGTTTAGTCAGGAGTGAAATAGGAGCTACCCGGCTGACCGGCACCATTCCTGCATACCCCAGCTACCTTCTGCTGCCCGAAAGCTACCTGTCGTTACATCTAGCTCTGAAATTAAAAAAAAAAAAAAATTCTATTCCTTTGCTCTGTCAATTGGGGCAGGGATTTTTTTTCTTTTGAGTAAAATTTTAAGTTAGAAAAGGAATACGTTAGGAAGAGATGGGGAGCCCAGCAATGGGGTCTGCTGGCCGCTCCATCCAGGAGACCCCCATGGGGTCATTTGGCCAACAGCCCCATGGGCCAGACGACACGGCCTCTCACTGTACCTGTCCCCACTGAGCACATCGGGCCCAGGTGGCATGGAAGGGGTGACCTGGGCCACATGAGCGGGTGCACCGTGCAGAGGGCAGTGGCGGCCCCAGAGAACAATATCCCTCAGCCCACACGGCGGCAGCCGCCTACCTGCAGGTTGCTGTTGACTCTTTCTGCTCCACACTTGTTGACACGCAAGTCACACTTTGAGAAACAGTCGAAGAAATTGCAGTCTTCATCTCCCGTGCAGTTCTGCTCGAGAATTTCCCTCATTTTAGGTTCAAAAAAGGCCATGTCCACATCAATGGCCACCACCTGTAACCAACACAGCACATGGCCATCAAAGGATGCTGGAGCTCAGCGACCCGGCAGCCAGGGCACCTCCGTTCCCTGTTTGCAGTGCAGGCGCCTGCTGGTTGTGGGATCACAGAACTCGGCCTGCCAGAAAGAGGAGCCAGGCTGAGCTGGGGCGGCGCCTGCTTTATTCACACGAGCACCAGGCATTGACCGTATTGCGAGGCTTTCACTGCAAAAAGGACTTTTGCTGTCAATGGCGAAAGCCTAGGATTTGGAATTATAACTAGAAGTATCATTTTTCAACTTTAAACACTTTTTCAGCTTTAAAAGTAGGATCTCTGAGGGGTGCCTGAGTGGCTCAGTCAGTTAAGGGTCCGACGCTTGGTCAGTTCGTGATCTCGGGGTCCTGGGATCGAGCCCTGGGTCCGGCTCCACACTCAGTGCACAGTCTGCTTGAGGATTCTCTCTCCCTCTGCCCTTCCCCCCATGCGCTCTCTCTCTCTCTCTCTCTCTCAAATGAATAAACAAACCTTAAAAAAAAAAAAAGCAGATTCTCTGAAATGTCTTAAAAATAAATGAATTCCCCTCCCATTGCTGTATCACTTTGGCCTCTGGTCTTTAAGGACCAGCATTATAAATGCTGTGAGACCCAGATAATTTATCCCCATGAATATCAACAACAAAGAAACTGAACTCCCAGGGCAGGTCTGTGGGTATGACGGTGAAATTGGGTGGGCAGGACCTACGCTGTCTACTTATGGCAAAGCTGTGACCCGAGTCAACCGGCTTCCTACTGATGCTTGGATGGACGTATGGTTGTGAAAGAGGCAGCATCAACCCCCTCTCATTAGGGCTGATGCATATGGACCCTGATCCAACAGCATCAAATACTAAATGTCGCCGTCAGCAGGAGCCCACGATTGACCCCCTGGAATTTCAGATTTATCTTCTTGGCTTCAAACCAAATAGGCTTCAAACCAGAAAAAAGGAAGAACATCTACATTATACAGATTTTCCACCACCACCTGAATTTAAAAAATAAAAAAAGATGATCTCAAACTTGATAAAACCTGGAGTCTGCCCAAATCAAGCAGTTCATAGCTTCAAGGTATTAAAAAAGCTCTCGGAAGACTTGATGAATTTGATGGAGTCTGTGGCATCTCACAAGCCTTCACAGGCCATCCTCCAAACACGAGCCCTTCCTTCTGCCTTTGGTAGCATCTCAACAAGGCCTCATTGGCTGGGGTCCATTTCCTCTGCAACTCGCAGTGTTAGAAGCTACATTCCCTGGTTTGGATTTTTGTTGTTCACTCAGGAGTGATGCCAGAGGCAGTAAACTTCCTTGGGGGATGATTCAGTAAAACAGAAGAGGGAAAATAGTTTCTTTCAAAATATATGGAGAATAATGAACATAAAGAACAGGGAACTTTTCCCTACTTAAGAGCTTTGCCTAATTACTAATTCAGGCACAGCAAACAGAAATTACAATTTTAATCAATCTTTCCTGTCTCATTATTTAGCCAAAAGAAATAGCTAATTTCGCTATTTAACCTAGCTAATACACTAAAAATATATTAGGCTGTGCTCATGAATCTATTGTCTTCATAATTTATTATCAGGACCATAGGGCCTCCCTCCTTTCTATACTTTTTGGCAATCTCCCCAGCCTCCCCTGGGCCCCTACCTACACTTTCAGCTCCTTGTGACTTCTCACTCCCATTCCCGATTGTTCCCTTCTCAACCGTCTCCCAGGGAGAGCCAGATTTATTTTTTAATTTTTAGTGTATAGTGCAGAATGGATTACAGCTTTTGTAAGCCTAACTCCACACACCTAAAATAAGAACAGCAACCAAGCCAACAGAAAGAACTGCATACAGCTTCTTTAATCGTATCAGGAGAATCCTAACACTCTTCCTGCATGGAATGACATAACTCGCATCTTCATCAAACTTCATCCCGGCATCAGACTAGAAAGGGTTGATGAGAAGTGTTTCATTCCCCACTGAACAGTGTGGCTCTCAAGTAGGACACACATCTGTTTGAAAGGAGCACTTGTTAGCAATGGTTTGGAGGTGTGAAGCAATGGTGTTTCCCAGTTGTTCCTCTGCAACCACTAGATGAATTCTCAGGACCTATAAGTGGGGCCCTGGGGAGAGGGAATGACTGCAGGTCACCACACCCCACCCCCAGAGTGTCGGACCCAGCAGCTCTTGGGGGGAAGGCAGAAAAAATCGGAATTTCTCACAAGTTCTCTGGTGATGCTGACACTGCTGGGTTTCATTTAAAGTTGTGAAATCATGGGTAAAGTTAACAAACTCAGTGTCTGTAAGGAGGTCAGTAATGCCAGGGTTAGCCAAGGGGGACCCCCCCGTCCTCCCTCCCCGTTCTCCTTCGAGAAGAGAAGAGCGCAGGCAGAGGCAAGGGCCTGTGTGTCCCAGCATAGTCCACAGGGCACAGTCTGGGACTAGGTCAAAAAGTGCAGCCATTATTTCATTGAACAAATATTTCATGCCTATCGTGCACAAGATGCTGGAAGGCACAACTCTAGTGCAGTGCACAAGCCAGCAACGTGCCATGTTTCCCTTTCCCCGGGGAAGTCTGGTCAGCTCCCCCTCCTTCCTACAGCCTTTCCTGGGAACCCAGCCGAGATAGGGTCGCAATTCCCTCAAGTGTTGCTGCCCCTGTGGGGTTCCGCTTGCTGACACTCCATAATACTTGCTGGATGAAGAATCGGGTGTCAGATGAGCACTGGCCCCATAACCGCCAAAGCCAGTGGTGTGAGTGGACGCGCCACACCTCCTTTCCCAGGGCCGTGGGGTGCCTGGTTTCCCAGGACTTCTCTGAGAAAGAGAATGGTGGTCCTTCATGTCCAGTACATAAACTTTCTGCTCATGAATTAGGGAAGCTTGGCCAGGATTTCACCTCCAAAAAATATGCTGGCAGAGTTCTGGGGTGTCCCTCCCCTTCACAGCTCAGACCATGTCTAGAGGTCTCGTGGAGCTCAGGATATTGCAGACGGAGCTGAACGCCTCCAGAGCTCGCCACCCAGAGTGCAGACCCCCCAGGAACCTCCCAGAACCTTCTGGAACCTCTCAGCTCTTTCCCTTCCACACTTGGAGCCACCCCCAGCTTATCAATCCCTCTGGGGCAGCCAGGGACAAGGAAGGCATTAGGACAAAGTAGTTTGGGCAAGTTGCCACAGTGCTCCTCCCAGTGACGAAGGCTTGATTGGAGAAGGGGTCTACATGGGGGCACATTTAGTTTTCTAGATTTCAGGCTGTTTTAAGCAGGCATTCCTCTGCTACCTGCCGTGGAAGTCCTTGGCTGGCAGTAAGAGAGCCCTCTTTTTGTCCCTTTATGTTTTTAACCAGGATGAAGAGCACCCTTCTGCCATGAGCCAGCACCCTCAATGAGCAGCCCCCTGGTGTGGCCGAAGTCAAGTTGGCCTCACTCGCCAGCACTCAGTTACCAGCTGACTTGTTGCAGCCTGGGAGGGGAGAACCAGGGCACGGCCCCCTCCCACTGCCCACCCCACACCCACACCTACTTGTTCTCAAGCGGTCCCAGCACTTGTCTCAGCACAGGGGAAGGACCCCTGTGTTCAGGCACGCGGGTCACCACAGCATTAATCTGACGCTCGGGTTGAGCCTCGCTGGGGGGAAGCGGGAGGGGGTTATCTTACAATAAAACACCGAGGTCCCTCTTGCTGCTTCTCCAGCACGTTTGATTCCTTGCACACCTGCATTGCCCGGAGTGGGAGACGGACTTCATCTACCCTCTACAGAGCGGCGCAGAGCCAGACACTCCGCGTGGGCAGGGCTTTCCCCTGGAGAAGGCACCAGAATTCTAGCTGTCCCTCTAGAAGTCTCACCCATGGAAGGGAGACTAACTAGAACCGCTCCAAGAAGGAAGGATCAGGAAAAGCCTGACACTGTCACACAGCATGGGTGGTGTGAAAACAGCATCCTCCAACTAGCCGTGGCACGAAAGCCCCCAAGGCCACTCTTCTTTGTCATCTGCTGTGGCTCCTCGTCTCCTGAGCATTGTTTTCTGCACTCAGCAAGAACTGACTTTCTAATTAGGTCTAAGAAGCTGCTCAGACGCTTTGGAGAAACCAGAAGAGCCACGAGGGAGGACAAACCTGCTGTGGGTGCCTTCATTATCATTCCCCATCCAGGGAGGCGCACGATGCCTGTGTTCCTCAAATTCTCTCATTCACACCCCAAAGGAGGTGCTCCGGCAGGTCCGGCTTGCCCAGGCTGGAAGCTTGCGCAAGGTTGCAGCGACCCTCCAGATTTCAGAAACCCTCTCCTAGGTTCTCTGCCCCCGCCCCCCGCCATGACACGCGTGCCCTCCCCATGCCACTCACCGTGAAGTCACTCCTGATGGCAAAGTTTTCAGGCTTGACGTCACACAGGTGGAGGCGGTGAGAGAAGTCGTCCTCGAAATGGCTCACCATGTCCAGGAAGCTGAGCGCCATGTCGCTGACGGCCTTGGCCTGGCCCCGGCCGCCCCGGGGGGCCCCCGTGGTCCCGTCAAGGGGGAAGAGGGCCCGGTGGCGGGGGCTGCCGGCAGCCAGGTACTCCACCGCGTAGAAGTGGCCACAGGAGCCCAGCACGGGCAGGGCGTGCCGGCTCAGGTCCTGCAGCAGGCTGAAGAGGACGAACTCCTCCTGCTGCAGCAGGGTCCACAGGCTGGCTAGCTGGCCCCGCCAGCGAGGGCCGCGCCTCCCCGGCCACAGTGGCCCCAGGCTGCCGCCCGACAGCTCCAGGCCCAGGGCGTTCTTGACCTCGCCGGCCACCAGCAGGAGCAGCTCTGCCTCGGGGAAGTCCTGGCCACCCTCGTCGGCCGCGTCCTGCAGCAGACCGAGCGGCTGGAAGCTGGAGAAGGCCTCCTCCTTGGACTTGAGGATGATGGGCCGGCCACGCCAGTCGGCCTGCAGCACCTTCTTGCCCCTCTCATAGTACAAACAGCGCTGGTACAGCAGCTTCTCCCCCACGCACAGGTCCTCACAGAGGTCTCCCACCAGCACCCCGCCCTCGTACTCCCGGCACTGCAAGGAAGGGGACAGTCAGTCACAAGGCGGGAGCGGCCCTGCGGTCGCTGGGCGGGGGCAGGGAAAGGGGCCAGTGGGTCCCTGCGCGCGGATGCTTTGATCAGCTGTTGGGAGAAACCTCACAAATGTGAACCACGCAGGCTATTTGGGTCAGTGGGTAATTCACTGAAAGAGCTAAAATAGTGTCTCGTATTTATTACATTATTCACCCAGGCCCAGGTCTTCAGAGTCCGGACACCAGAGGCGAGACGCAGGTTCCCCCCCACCCACCGCGCACCCCCATCCAGCCACGTGCTGCTGGGAAAAGCCTTTCACCCGCTGGTGACCGTTCCGTCAGCTGTCAGAGACAGGGCTGTCCGGGCCAGAGGTTCTCGCCGCTGGCCACACGTGCAGGTCGCCCTGGGGAGCTTTGAACGCCACCATCCAAGAATGGCTAAGTCAGATCTCGGAAGGGGGGTCCCCAGCGAGCGTCACCTGGTGCCAGGCCAGCCACAGTGACCACCCTCCCGGCAGTTCCCTCAGCCCGCTTCTGTGACACCAAGTGGTGCCGCCTCTAACTAAGGCCAGCAAGTCTGGAAGGGTGACAGGGCCCGGAGGGCCACCCTCAGGAAAGAGGAGGCCCCAGGGCTGGCCGTGCCAGCAGGACTGGAGACAGGCGCGTCGGAGACTGGCCCTCCAACAACCGCCAGGTACGTAATTACAGGCTCTTCAGAGCCTCGGGTCGTTTCATGCTGGTCAGCTTTGCATTACAAGCAGCTCAAAGTTGGACAACGTACTTCCAATGCCTGGATATAGGAACAATTCCAAAATCCCAAAAGCTCTGAAAACTACAACATTTGTGACTCAATGAGCCTCACGTGGTACTAAACCCCAACTGAAGAGTTGTGCGGCTAATTATAGTCTGAGTGTATTCGACTTGGTGTGAATTTCCATATATTGTGCTGCAGAATTATTCATTGGTTTCATTACTGGTTCTGCTTCATATGCAAAATACAAGGTATTGATCCATATTATTTTTCTAATGCCCAAAAAAGTGTGACTTCAAAAACATGCCTGGCCCCAAAGTGTTAGATAAAGGACAGTGGACCTTTATAAATACTCTAGTTTAATTGTTCAAAGCACACATTACCAGAATGCTTATTAAAAAGAAATATTCCCAGTTCTTAAAACAAGTACCTGGATTTTCGGGACCATTTCAGGCAGTAGCTGGACAAGAGCCTGAAAGACCCAGGCCATGTCGTCTGACCTGATCCTGGGGCTCTCTGCTGAAGGAGGCTCCTGGGAGCCATTTCTCCTTTGTGGGCTTTCGATCTTAGTATATCACCTTGGGTAGTGAGTGTGTCAAACTCGCCAAGCACAAGGACGCAAGTGACGGAGACCTGTGCGTGGTCATGAATCTGCCCCCAGAGCTTGGGGGTGCCAAGCTTGGCTGCTTTTTTGTCTTTGGAAAACAGACACCCGTGATGACGTTGTGTTAACAACTGTGTTAAACACACTTGATGCTGTGCTCATCTTGCAATTTAACATAACACACGCTGGTAAAATGCCATCCTCTTAATTCCATGGCTTGGGGCCAAGAAACGAGTGTTGAAAGGATCAGGACCCTTTGAGTCACTCACTCTCTGCTTAGAATCGCTTCCATATCACCCCTTGTAAGTCACAGCCACTGACTCAGGCTGCCCCAGACCTCTCAGGGTATTCTCAGAGGGGAGGGGGGAATGAAAGGGTGAAGTGTCCTGGACAACCAGGAGCGGAAAGATATGCATGATGGAAATAACATGGGCCATTCATTTTACTTGTTGCTGTTTTTTTCCCTATGCTATCTGGTATTTACAGAGTTTCACATTTCTTTAGTAAATTTCCTTATAAAGTCCCAAAATTCCTTTAAGTATAATACCCAAAATTAGTTGATTCAATTCCATAAATATCTTTGGAGTGTTGTCACATTTAGAATTGAATCAAAAGTGCTTCTGTATGAAGTACAGAACAGGAAAAGAAAAGCAGGTGACAGAAACGGCCTGGTGGGAGGGGTGAGTCCTGAGCTGAGAGCTTCAGAATCCTGGGAGAAGCCAGAGAGAAGGGAGGAGGCAGATAGAGTCCAGCGTGCTTTGGGTGGCAAGTGTGGAGGGCTTCCACTACAAAGGCCCAGGGCCTTTACTTTCATCCCGACCTGCGGCCAAAACTGCCACTGGCCAGGAGAGACACCTGTGGACCAAGGAGACCGCTCCACTCCTCTGGGACTGGGAATGGCCATGGGCAAGGCCTTGCTGCTTCAGCCACACGAGGCCACCTTCAGATCAACAATGCCACTCTCCCGACTTCACCCAGCTGCATGTGAGCTGAGCCCCTATCCAACTACAGGTACCAGGCTCAGGAGTTCACATTACAGAGGTGGCTGCTTTCCAAACTCATAAATGAGAGCAGAGGGTGATCTGTACAGGATAGGTACACTGCCAGGCTTGGCTCTGGGCCAGACTGGGTTTGCCTCCTGGCTCTGCCCCGGACCAGCTGGTAGCTTGTTTCCAAGTCTATAGCATGGGATGCTGATACAGTGTCACAGGAGCCCTGTGAAGGTCAACCAAGGTCACAGGTGCAGAGGACCCATGGTCTCAGTGAATGCTACTTCTCTCCCACCCTCTCCAGCCCCGGTCATTGTGGCGGGGGTGGGAGGGGGTGGGGGAGTGGAGAGGGAGGCTTCTTCCCGGAGAGATGTGCCTGAGCTCAATTTTGAAAGCCTAATTGCAGTGTGCCTAGCAGAGAAGGAGAGAGGGGGCAGTTCCATTGCAGGAAATAAGCTGTGCAAAGAGCCAGAGTTGCAAAGTAGTGCGTTCAGAGAACCAGATACAATTCAGGGGCGTGGAGAGCAAAGTTAGTGCAAGCACCTGTGTGTCACGGACCGTTGAGCCAGAGTTGCAAAGTAGTGCGTTCAGAGAACCAGATACAATTCAGGGGCGTGGAGAGCAAAGTTAGTGCAAGCACCTGTGTGTCACGGACCGGGCTGTCCTATGAAAAGATGCCACATCTCCACCAGACAAAAATGCTTCTACCCTGCAAGGGCAAGATCAACCTTCCACGTGTGGGGAGGGGGCGGGGAGATAGCCCTGCTGCCCCTGGGAAGCCTCATCTCCGTCCTCAGCGCCCAGCTCCCAAACCACCAGACTCACTGGCACATCCTCTCTCCTACCGACTCCCCACAGCACAGTGTTTTCTACAAAACTACCCTGCATTGATGAAGTCGAGTTCAAATTGAATTAAAATCTATGCAATTTTGCCCCTGCAAATTTGGACGGCCATTCCAAACAGGAGTTGCAAGACATTTTGAACAATGGTATAATCATCGAATTTGGCATAGAGCCTATCAGTTTTGGAGGGGAGCATTATTTGGGGCTGTTTTCCTGAGGCTTACCACATTGGGGTAGAAGTCTGCCTCCTGCAGGGCTGACAGCTTCAGGGCCTGCAGTGTCGAGCATCAGAAAGGCCAGGAAGTGGAGCGAGGTGCCCAGGACCCCAGAGGGCTTCCAGCTACCATAGGGGAGGTCTTGGGCTTATGACCTAACTTCTGGTACCCCCGTCACCTCGTTCATCATAGGAGATAGCTGACACTAGAACAGGGTGTGCACAGTGTGGTTATAACAGAGTTGCTCTTCATTATCATCCTTTAGGATGATGTGTTTTTGGCATTTCGGGTCCGTACTCTCTTAAGAGACCGTAAAATTCATGCGCCAGGGCTCTGCTGCCTACCAGCGCCAAAGTGAGTCTGCACAATCCTTTGGCAGGTCTGTGCCTCCTAAACCCGGAGAACAATTAACCTAGCATTTAAACACGAGTGAACTTAAGGGACAATTTACAAGTTTACGAGCTCATTAAAAACTGCCATCATGTGAGAGGAAATAGTGAAATTATTTTATGAGCAGCATGTCCTACTGAAGTAGCTATGTTTTAACTCAATAAAAGTGGTTTGTTCACTTGAGCTCAGTGTTTAAAGTCACTTTTCTCTGAAAACGAGGGGGTGCTGCCAGCATGAACACAGGTAAGCTTCTGTGCCCAAATGTGCATACACAAAAAATCCACAGGTATCACATTTTAAAATAAACTGAAAAAAAAAAAAAAACAACCAAGTAAACAAAGTCTCCTTACCATTGACAGGCATTTTTTAATTACTTAAACTCACAGTGGATTTGTGTTTCTAGACTTAATGGGCATCCATACAAACGCATGTTCCCAGAATTCTCAGTTCTGGTAGGAATGTCTTAGCCATTGTTGCTTAGAATCTCTCCAGTTCGGATCATGGTTCTCAGGCAAAAACAAAACCTGTCCACTGAGTCTGAGAAACTGCTGATGGGGTCTCAGAGGTCATGCCTGAAGGCTGGGTTTTCTTTTGTGTATTTGTTTTTGTTTTTAAGGAGCATGAAGTCTCTACGTGGTTAGCAACAGAGCACACGATAGAACTCCTTCCCTGAGCAGTTGGCTGTGCGTTGCAGAATCTCAGAGCATTTAGCTTGTCCACTGTGCAACCTCTCTTGACCCCTGGACGGCTCAGAAGATACACATTACAAACATTACGGCCAGAGCACTCGGGAAAACAGAGACATTCCCTGCTATAAAATCTTTCTGGATGCTGTAGTCCCACTGGGACCATGGGTTTCTACCATAGCAAAGGAAGTTAAGCCCGCCCTATGAAAAAGCAATCTCTACTGTAGGCAACTAAATTAAGTCACATCAAGAGCTAAAGAGCCAAAAGGGAGTTAAGCCTTCGGAATAACAGAGCCCGTGGGAATATTTTTGAGATGCCTTGAAAATGATATGCTACGGAAGGATGAAGAATATCCAGTTGTTACTCAGGGCTTTCGTTATCGGGGAAGCCACTGATTGTCATGGAGTCTCTACTATCACACTACACAGAGTCCCATACTGTCTCCAGGACGCAACGAGTGCGTGAATCAGGATAAGTTACTTTACGTCCCGGGGCTCAGTTTTGCCATCTGTGAAGTGAGGGGAGTACAGGTTATCGAAGGGCTGAAGTGAACTAATACGCAGAAAGCTACTTAGCCCAGGGCCTGCCCACAGCAAGCACAGTGGGCTCCCACAGCACGTATCTCTCTGCTGTCATGTGCAGTGCTCTGCCCGTGGAACGGGGAGCGAGGCTTGGTGACGCTCACCAGCCTGGGATAGCCCGGGACACAGCTCACTAGAAAAGAAGGGCTCTAGAAACCTCACAGAGAAGTTGAAGAGGGCTTACAGATGTCTTGACTATGAGATGTGCTGAAAAGCCATGGTCCAGAGGAGCACAGCGGTCTGACTCAAAAACCTCCAAAGCTAGAGGACCCAGGGCTCAACTCCTTGGAACAATTCCAGTTGGCTCTTCCAACTCTTCCCCCGTCCAGGGCCATGAGTGCACTGAGCTCCCTGGGCAGGAGGGGTGCCGCCTGAGGGTGCCAGCCAGCCAGCCGGACTCCCAGCTCTCTGAGCTCTGCACCTTTGTCTACAGACCCCTCCATAGGCCAGCAATGGCACCTGCCACACTGGCGGCCTGGGACCCCAGCAGGGGTGCAGGACTCCCCGGGCTCTGCCAGGGAGGGAGAGGGCTCCCTCTGGCTCAGCTGCAGTGCACTCCTTCTGTGCTTGGTGTTCCGAGGGAAAGCTAATGAGGGTCTGGAGAGCAGTCAGAAAAATAACAGCCAGTTTTCTTATTAAGGACAAAAGCCAGGCAGAATGAATTGAAAGTGCCCGGGAGCCTAGAGACAGAGGGTCGATTCAGCCTGAGTCCTGGGTGGCCACCATGCCAGGCTCTGTGTGGCAGCCAGGTCCCAGCAGAGTCTGGGTTGTGGAGACTGCGGGGCTGTTCAAGCCCCGTTTGAGTTCAGAGTGTCCTGGGGCACAGGGAGCCAGGGTGCTGGGTGGGACTAACACCCACAAATTCAGAACAGAGAAGGTAGAAGAGGAGGAGGCAAGGAGAGAGGGAGAGAAAGGCAAGCCCTGAGCACAGGTGAGAAATAATGGCCTCGAACAGGGCGCCCAGATGATGCTCCCCGAAAAATCAGTTCACTGAGACAACATTAGATGAACTTCGGGAAGACAGACAAAGGCAGTATTTCAAATTGTTCTTTGGGCAGTAGGCAAGATGGGGAGCCTTCAGAAGCAGAGCCCATATCTTCAGCTTCATGTCAGACTAAAAACAACCCCAGCTGGCTGCCATTAGAGATATATTGGTAGAACCTCTAACCAGAATTGTTTTTAATTTATGAGCTGGCATGCTGGGAAAATTATGATTAGCAATTGCCTAAATTATATTGGGCCATAAGTCCATTAGTCCTTTTCCCACTTAACCAAAGATAAATAAGTGAAAACAGCATTTTTATTTTAATGAAAAAGATTATTGCATTATTTTTGTAAACAGGTATTCCATCCTGGAAAAAAACCTCTTTTTGTTCATTAAAATTAGTCAATCAGTCCCCCAAAAACAGGTGAAATAAGCCTTGTAGAAGGAATTTTTATATGGGTTACTGAGAAAGTTGATGAGTTGTTGTAAGTTAAAGAAAACTTGATAGAACTTCAGTGTAACAGCCCATAGATGACTGATAATACGTGATGGAGGGGATGGAGGGAATCGTTGATGAGGGTCTCACATTATGATCAATCCAGATCAGACTCAATTAAGGAATATGATTTGCGTTTGTATGTTTCAGTCCTTTAATTTTTCCAATCTCACTTAAAATTTTTTTTAACTTTTAGGCTATGAAAATTTGAAAACCTACAATCTCAAAAACCCCGCCCATTTGTAAGCAATTGGACTGTAAACTTCCCATGCGTTTTTTGAAGATTTCTTAGAAAATAGATCATCTTTCACAGCAAATGCTCAGCTAGATGGTCACTGTTTTAGGAAGTGAATAACCACGTAAGAAACCAAAGGGGCAGTTTTTGCCCGCTGTCTTCACCTTTTCGGCTTTCCTTTCGGGGATTCCTACCTCTTTCCAAGTCTTCCTAACCCGCATAATCTTCCGGACCAAACGGAGCGACTGAGAGCCGCCAACGTTTGGAATGAACGGATGAGCATCTGGGGCCCAGTGCACACAGCAGCCTGTCCAGACCAGCTAGGACCACTCAGGCCCACGCCTGTTCGGAGACCGCTGTCTTGACCCCAGGACAGGGGTCTGCGGGGGTCCGCTCCCCTGAGCGCACTCTGCCTGGGGTCCCACAAACCGCGCCCGCGAGAGCCGCGGCTTTGGGGCGCAGGGAGTCAGGGGCCCTACCAGCCGTCTGCGTTGGGCTTGGCGAGGTGCATCCAGGTTGGCATCATAGAACGGCCGCTGAGCGAGAGAACCCGAGAAGCAGAGGCGTGGCCCCGCCGGCCCCGAGCCCCAACACCGGCCCGCGCCGTCGCCAGCGTCCCGAGCCCGGCCGCCCCACACGGGATGCGGGCACCGAGGGGCTGTCGGGAGACTCGGCGCAGACCTGCAAACTTTCAAGCTCGGGCTCAGGGGCGGCGGGAGAGCCGTTTGGCAGGAACTCTATCTTGGGACAAAGGACCAATTTTGACGAAAGGAGGGAGACTCCTCCGCGCGCCCACAGACTCCCGGGCAGAGACGGGTTGTACGCACCGGGCATTCCATTCACCGTGTCGGGACCCCCGCCCCCCGGGTGCCACGACCGCGCCCGACTCCCCCGCTCCCGGGGCCCGCGGAGGGTGTCCCACCCCAGGCCCCCAGGGAGCGCGGCGCGGGGCAGTGCGGCGGCGGGACCTACCAGCGCGGCCAGGATGCGGCGGCTCTTCTCGTCGGTGCAGCGCTCCGAGAGGACGCCCGGGTGCGCGCGGAGCAGCAGCGCTGCCGCCAGCACCCAGCCCGCGGTC